TTAAAAAAAAAAAAAAAGAAATACCATCTTTGCAGATGTACCGAGTTGAGGTGAGGGCGGGCCCCTCATCCAAAATGCCCCAGGGCCTTCAGAGAGAGCGTGGCCCTGCCAACACCTCGGCTCCAGAACCGTGAGGCAAGAACCTTGTGTTGTTTAAGCCACTCAGTGTGTGGTACTTTGTTACAGCAGTCCTAGCAGACAGACTTTTCAAAGACGTTCCCCTCAGCAATGAACTTCTAAATGAAGGTAAAGGGAATATCTCTGGGTGAGTTGTTTGATAATCCCAGTCCAACATTTGTTTTCAGTGAATGAGTGAATCTTCCTGAGGCTTTGGATTCTTTCCTCTACTATACCAGGGAACTTTTGGCATCTTGATTGCATTTAGTGAGACTCAGCTTTCCTTCCAGCCAACCAAATAGGCACCCAGAACGACCCCTAGTAGCTCAAGCCAGCACACGGAATCCAAAATTTCTGGTAAGTGCACCTGTATTGAAAAAATCAGCCCAATTTAAATCGGTTCTTATCTCCTTGGTCCAGGACCTGGACCTCATACATGCTCTCCATATTGTGACCACGGTAAAGTAACAAAGTCTTACAATTTCTTTGATATATAAGCCTTTCCCTCTGGGTTTAACTTTGTAATAAGACCTCCAGACATGCTGGAATCCATCTTTTTATTTATTTATTTTATTTTTAAGTAATCTCTACACCCAACATGGGGCTTGAACCCACAATCCTGAGATTGAGTCACATGATGCTCCACCAACTGAGCCCACCAGGTGCCCTGCTGGAATCCATCTTTAGTTTAAGGCATTGGGGATGTTAAGGAGTTTGGGAAGAGGGGCAGAAGAGTCGGCTTCCCTCGGCAAACCCCTTGGCAAGGACGCCTTGCTTCCATGGGCAGGGAGGTGCAGAGGGTCTGGGGTTGGTGGTAATCTGATTCCTCTGTGCTCTTTCTTATATCTTCATCCCGTGTAATTTGTTAACACATTAAGTGCCTACTGTGGGCTAAGCCAGGAAGCCAGGAAGCCTGACAGACAAACACTTACTGTCATGGAGCCAGCACTCTCATGGTGGTAGACACAGTAAAGAAATAAGTAAAGATCACAGAGAGAATCACCTCACAGGGCGCTGGGACAGAGGGGGTGTAAGAAGGCCTGGAAGGTGATCAAAGGCCTGGGTGAAGCCGTGAAGCATTCCACAGCCAGTGCAAGACCCTGAGGGCAGGCTGTGCCAGGTAGGTTCCAGGAACATAGGGGAGGCCGGGGTGGCTGCAGAAGCAGGAGTGAGGAGGAGGAAGACCATGGTGGTCAGAGGTCATGGGGTTCAGGCGATATGGTGCTTTGGAAAGGGGAGGCTACTTTGAGCCAAGTGACTTGATCTGATGAACATTTTTAAAGGGTCCCTCTGGCTGCTGCTGACTCCAGAATAGACTTCAGTGGGGCAGAGTGGAGGCCGGGAGACCTGTGCAGAGGCCTCTGTGACAATCTGGGCGAGAGACCATGACGCTGGGGTTGGGGCTGCTGAGAAGTAGTCAGATTCTGCCTAAACTGTGAAGGTAGAGCCAAGATTGGCTGCTGGTTTGGATGAAGGCATATGAGAAAGCCCGCCATGCCCAGGGGTGGGGTCGCCACTGTGGACACGTGAAGGTCCACGGGGGCAGTGTGGTGCTGGGGGTCGGCAGTTCAGTGAAGGCGCATTCAGATTAAATGTCAGGGATATCCAAGGGGAGGCATTGGTGGGACGGTTGCATCTTGGCCTCTGGAGTTGAGGCCTGGGCCGGAGATAAGAAATGGCATCATCAGGGCCTAGACGACACTTAGAGCTATGACAGTGGACGGGCGCTCGAGGGGAATGTAGATAGGAAAGCAATGACACCTGAGGACTGAGCCCTGGGTTGCCCACATGACAGCTTGACACGAAGAGCCAGAAGAGGGGTATGGAAAGGACCAGCGTGGGGAGCATGTGTGGAATGGGGAGTGGCCTGCCATGTCGAGTGACCACCAGTGGGTCAAGGAAGGTGAGCGTTGCCACTGGATGTGGGCTTGCGGAGTGTTCCCGTGTGTTGCTGTGCACGCTCAGTGCTCTGTCCTGAGCAGTGCCTAGCGTTCGCCTAAAAGATTTAGGGAGGCTGTGAATTCAGGCAGTATTTAACCTGGAAGCCACAGAATCAGCCTGTGGGTTTGATGGTGGGCCTACCTCAGCCGCATCGCTGTGGGAGACAGGAGACTCCTTTGCAAAGCAGAGAAAGCTTTGTTCGTAGCTTGACAGGCACACAAGAATCTGACCCTACTGTTCTCTTTCTTTAAGCTGTTTGGCGCTTTTGGA